CCAGAGTTTTCTCTTAAAAACATCTTGCCGTTATCAACATGCAATAAATCTTGGGACGTTCGAGGTTGCAAAGGATATACGCATTTGGAGGCTGCATTTAAAGGAGCCTTTCAATTTTTTTTTTAATGAGAGCCTTCGTCACGCCGCGATGATGCAGCGCCCTTCAAATGCATCCTTCGGAGGACGCAGCCTCTGAAATGAGACATGGCTGTATATATGTGAAGAGTTTAAATGCAAAAACCTCTAAAAGCCAATTAATATTCTCTTCTAAAATTAGCATTCATCTCCAACTCCTGTGTGTTGGCTCACTAATTTAACATTTATATGGACAGATAAGTTCTAATTGCATTTCAAGTGAAGTAACTGAACATAAATATAGAAGACTGAGGAAAAACTCTTCTTTTTGGAGAACATTTTAGACGGCATTTAGAGGTTTTTGCATCAGAACTCTGTATATAAAAAGGTAAAACAGGCGCCCTTTAAATCACTTGGGAAATTTTTGAAAAAAAAATCGAATTTCACAGGAGTGCTTATAATATTGCCTTCAACTGGACATTTCGTTTTAATAATTCTGAAAATTCGATACGATTTTCAGGCGTCACACCGAGATGTTGTGTTGAAACTACAAAAAGGTTTCCACTCGATCTACTGAAGAAAGTCAATAGATATGAGGTGCAGACAAGCAGTGGAGCGTGCACTATTGATGCTCTTGTGTGAGTTTGAACAGTTTCATATCCATCCATCCATCCCATTACCATGTCTGTCTGTCTGTCTGTCTGTCTGTCTTTCTGTTTATCTGTCTATGTGTCTGTCTGTCTGTCTAAAAATCATGTCTTTAACTGCTCATTTCAGATTGCATGTGGGTGACATGAGATACTGCGCAACACCCAAGATGGAGCAGTTTCTGCAGAAGCTGATGAAGCGAATGGCTCGTCTAAAAGCCTCTGCTGTGTGAATGAGCTCAGGTGATGTCAAGAGGAGCAAACACTTCACTATAAAGATGTTTAAGGAAACACTTACTCTGTTCTTCTGTTTGCTCGTGTTGATCCTTACATTCATTCGTTTTGATGAACACTGTTTGTGCAGCAGTTTCAAGTGTGTTTTTTTATATATACACTACCTGACATAAGTCTTGTCGCCTATCCAAGTTTAAGGAACAGCAAATAAAGACTTCTAGTTGATCATTTGGTATCAGAAGTGGCTTATATGAAAGGCAAAGGCCTCTAGATTATGCTTACTTTACCACAATAAAACTTGATCATGCCTTGATTATTAATGATTTAATTAGGACAGTAAGGTCTGACTTTGTTTAGACAGTAATGTCCAGTATAGAATATAAAGTCCTGCTGCAGTGGAGACAGAATGAATATTGTGTCTGACTCCATCATGAGCTTGGAGGACTGCATCCATACATCTCTGCACTGACTCAAATCACTGATTAATAAAGTCATCTGGAATGAAGAAGAAAGCGTTCAGCAGGACTCCCAGAGCTCATCAAGACTCTTTGTGTTCATCCTCAACGCCTTCTCCATCTTACCCCAAACATGCTCAATAATGTTCATATACTGCTGGAGAATCTGCCCTCTCCTGTAGTTTGTAATGTAATGGGCAGCACAAATGTCTTGATACCTCAGGCTGTTGATGTTGATCATCCACTCTGCAGATCTCTTGCACGCCCCCATACTGAATGTAACCCCAAACCATGACTTTTCCTTTGATTTTTAAACAAAACTTGACTGATTTTGGTAAGAATTTTGGCTCCATCCTGGTTCCAGTAGGTCTTCTGCAGTATGTGTGATGATTGGGATGCAGATCAACAGATGATCCATCAGATAAATCTGATGAAAACCTTCTGCCACTTTTCCAAATGATCAACTAGAAGTCAGGTTATTATTTGTTACTCTTACAACTGGAATCGACGACAAGACTTTCGTCAGGTAGTGTATTATGACACTATATGAATATTATGCATGCAAATACAAACACTACAAGGTAACAAATATATTTTATGCAATATTTGTGAATTTTTGCTAACCTTAGTTTGTAAAAGTACAGCTGTTTATAGTTCATTCATTTTCTTGTCGGCTTAGTCCTTTTATTAATCCGGGGTCGCCGCAGCGGAATGAACCGCCAACTTATCCAGCAAGTTTTTACGCAGCGGATGCCTTTCCAGCCGCAACCCATCACTGGGAATCTGTTTATAGTTTCAACTCAAATTATTGTATCATGCTGTAAAAGTCTCTGTTTAGGTGAAAAACCTTTGGTGCATCTGTGTGTGTGTGTGTGTGTGTGTGTGCGCTTAAAAGTGGTATTAAATGTCCCTAAATATTCATTCATTTTCTTTTTGGCTTAGTCCCTTTATTAATCTGGGGTCGCCACAGCGGAATGAACCACCAACTCATCCAGCATATGTTTTACGCCGCGGATGGTCTTCCAGCTGCAACACAGTACTGGGAAACACCCATACACCATGGACAATTTAGCCTACACCATTCACTTATAACGCATGTGTTTGGACTGTGGGGGAAACCGGAGCACCCGGAGGAAACCCACGTGAACGCGGGTAGAACATGCAAACTCCACACACAAACGCCAACTGACCCAGCCGGGACTCAAACCTGCAAACTTCTTGCTGTGAGTTGACATTGCTAACCACTGAGCCACCGTGCCACTATTAAATTATATTATATTAAGGCGACGCAATGGCGCAGTAGATAGCACTGTCGACTCACAACAAAAAAGTCGCTGGTTCGAGCCACCGTGAGCCTCGGCTGGGTCAGTTGGTGTTTCTGTGTGGAGTTTGCATGTTCTCCCTGTGTTGGCGTGGGTTTCCTCCGGGTGCTCCAGTTTCCCCTCACAGTCCAAACACATGCGGTACAGGTGAATTGGGTTGGCTAAATTGTCCATAGTGTATGAATGCGTGTGTGTGGATGTTTCCCAGAGATGGGAACATATATGGATAAGTTGGCGGTTCATTCCGCTGTGGCGACCCTAGATTAATAAGAGGAACTTAGTGGAAAAGAAAATGAATGAATGAATTATATAAATGTATCATATAACATTAGAAATAATGTTTTTATGGGTATTTAGGGACCTTTTATATAGAACTTTAAAGACTCTCATAGCTGTTTTTGCCTCCTGAATCATACATTCAGCTTTAAATATCATAAAGTAACTCTAATTTCCATCTTATTTTGTGTGTTTACTTTGGGCAGTTAAAAATTCCATGAAACGTCTATTTTTTTTTTTTTTTGGTGTAATTTTGTAATAAAATAATCATTATGTGTCTGTCTCGAAGTTCTGCTCAACTGTTTCATCAGTTCATCAGCACTGAGAGAAAAAGCTTGTTATTTGCTCCAAGTGATGTCACTTCCTCTGGCGGGAAACTCTAGAAGGCATTGATGTGCTTCATTATTCCTCTCATTCATTTGTACAAATTGTTTCAGATACAGTTGGTCAGAATTATTGGCCCCCCATTGAATTTAATTTTGTTTTTTAAATATTTCTCAAATGATGTTTAACAGAGCAAGGACATTTTTACAGCATGTCTGATAATGTTTTTTCTTCTGGAAAAAGTCTGTTTAATTTCGGCTAGAATAAAAGCAGTTTTTTTTTATTTTTTATGAACCATTTTAAGGTCAATATTATTAGCCCATTTAAGCTATTTTTTTCTCGATAGTCTACAAACCATCTTATACAATAACTTGCCTAATTACCCTAACCTGCCTAGTTAACCTAATTAACCTAGTTAAGCCTTTAAATGTCACTTTAAGCTGTATAGAAGTGTCTTGAAAAATATCTAGTCAAATATTATTTACTGTCATCATGGCAAAGAAAAATTAAATCAGTGATTAGAGATGAGTTATAAACATTTATTATTTTATTCAAAACATTATAAGCTGTCGATATATACAATAAGCTTAGTCAAAACCAGCATGAACACAGTTGGAGTCAGAATTATTCGCCCAGTTTATTTCTTCCCCAATTTTGGTTTAAAGGAGAGATTTTTACAACTCATTTCTAAAGTTTTAATGACATGACGTTAAGTACATTATTGTAAAATACGTGTTAATCAGAGTCTCCAATTGCTGGATTTATAATAATGTAATGTATACTAAACTAAAGACCACCACATTTAGTGAAGCAGACGTTCAGACTTTGAAGTTGACCAAAACGTCTTGTTCCTCATTAAGTTAATTTGTCTTGCACGGATTAACTGCTGTTCACCTAAAATTTAACAACGTACACTAGCAAATATAAGCATTGTGCAGCAGTCAACGTTTGAAGTGGACCAAAAAAAACGCTTGTAAAAATTGTAAATAATTTTAGGACAACTTTGATGAAGTGATGCTCACTGTAAATGTTATCACACAGACTTCAAGTCTTAATCCTCTACTCAATAATAACATAATACAGTACAATAATGACACAAGAGATACAAGGCGTATTTTTATTACTAAAAAATGAGTTCACAACCACATCGAGAGCATTAAAACCAATTCACAGTTTACGTCAGATGCATTTACAGACGTTTGGCTTCCCTTCAACATTATTACTGCTTATAAAGGACACAAAGACGATGAGCGATGGCTAGAAATCAAATGTGCGCCATTTTCATGAACATCTGACAAACTAATAATCAAGATTCAATCCCTTTCAAAGCACTTCACTTGTGTTTCTCATCCATGCAGTGTCACCTTCAGTGGTTTCCAATGATTTTGCTGTCTTTCCTGCTGAATGATGATCTGCTATACTGTGAACGAGCGTCAAAATAACACACGGCTCTCAAACGTCAACTACTTTGGTAAAAAAGGTCACTTTTGTTAATGAAGGCAGTTGAAACCCAATCAACAAACAAGTGAGCAGTAGTCCAGAAACTAATCTCAGTCAAACACAACACTAATTAAAATAAATATGATCAAAAATAAATACAGTTCAAGTTGGCACAGAAAACTCCTGGTCATTGCATTCGTCAAGGTTATATCTAAGCCTTCCCTTTACTAAGTACAGATTTTGACAAGCACACAGTGATTTATAACTAGACTTGACTATGATCAATCACAAGTGCGGTTTACTTGATTGTCGTCTGACCAGTTAAGTAGGAATGAATCTGCATTATGGAAATGATCAATAAATACGCTTTCGTCTGTGTTCTCTGTGCATTAACACTGCTTCACAAATCAAAGAGGGCTGTATTAGTGCTAAACACTACCTGACTCTTCATACGTCTTGTTGCCTATCCAAGTTTTAGGAACAGCCAATAATAACTGCTAGTTGATCATTTGGCATCAGAAGTGGTGTATATGAAAGGCAATGATATAAATTATAATGCTTAATAATGTGCATATCAGGTGACTGGTTTGGCCAATCCTGGAGATACATGCTTTTAAGGAACTTTGATGTGGATTCACCCTCTCCTGTGGTTTGTAATGTAATGGGCAGCACAAATGTCTTGATTCCTCAGGCTGTAGATGTTGATCATCCACTCTGCAGATCTCACGCACTGAATGTAACCCAAAACCATGACTTTTCCCTTACCAAACTTGACTGATTACTGTGAAAATCGTGTGTCCATGCAGGTTCCAGTAGGTCTTCTGCAGTATTTGTGATGATTGGGATGCAGCTCAACAGATAATTCATCAGAAAAATCTCCCTTCTTTTCCAAATGATCAACTAGAAGTCGAGTTATGTGTTGCTCTTTCAACTGGGATTGACGACAAGACTTTTGTCAGATAGTGTATATGCATTAAAAGTAATAAATCTGACATGAAATGAACATTAAATGGTTTATTTTTGTTGTGACTTATTAAATGTGACAATATTTGAGAGTGTTTATTTTATTTTTTTAAATTTTGCTTATAAAATGTAATGTTTACGGGCCTTTTATTGCATTCGATTACAATCTTAACCTGTTGTGAATCAATTTATTCATTCTACGCAACCCAAATTAAGATCATTCATACAGTAGTTTAATATTTACTTTGGATATAAACAGCATGACGTTATTTCTTTATTATATATTTTATTGAAGGGTGAAGCTCAAATAAGCTAGACCAACAAAAGTTAATGATATCAATTGAAATTAGTGAATTCATTCAATGACTGGAATAAAAACTAAAATAAAAAAGGGGTACTCTAAATTCCATTAAAATAATAAAAAAAAAATTTTTTAAATGTAAATAAAATCTTAAATATTACAACAAAATTAAAATAATTTCATAAAACCATTTGATTTCTGTATTTAGTTTTTAATTGTGTTATTTTATTTTTGTTAGGCAGCATTATTGAGGGCGAGTTACATTTTATTTACCTTCATTTTTTTATATTTTCTTAATTTAGAATACGTTATCATATTTTTGAAAGTTATTTTTAGGGGGAATTGAAAATAAATAAAACCAAGTAAAACTAATGGAAAATGTAAAACATAATAATAATTATGGGGAGAAAGTTGTAATATTTCAGAGCTTGTAAAAGCATCTCAAACAAACCCTCGTCATCAGATGCGGTTATTAAAGGAACACGCCTCCTTTGTTTTTGTAAATAGACTCATTTTACATCTCCTCAAGGGTTGAACAGTTGAGATTCATCATTTTTAATCCATTTAGTCAATCTCTGGGTCTAACAGGAGCACTTTCAGCTTAGCTTAGCATAAATCATTGAATCGGATTAGACCGTTAGCATCTCACTCAGAATTGAAAAAAAACTTTAAATAATTTTTCTATTGAAAGCTTGACTTCTGGAATTACCTTGTGTATTACACTGTAAAAACTGCCCAAATTAAGATCATTCATACAGTAGTTTAATGATTACTTTGAATATAAACAGCATGACGTTATTTCTTTATTATATATTTTATTGAAGGGTGAAGCTCAAATAAGCTAGACCAACAAAAGTTGATATCAATTGAAATTAGTGAATTAATTCAAGGACTGGAATAATAAAATAAAAAAGGGGGACTCTATTATATTAAAATAATAAAATAATTTTTAAAAAATGTAATAAAATCTTAAATATTACAACTAAATAAAAAACTATTTAATAAAACTATTTGATTTCTGCATTTATTTTTTTTAATTGTGTTATTTTGTTTTTGTTAGGCAGTATTATTCAGGGCGAGTTACATTTTAATTACCTTCATTATTTGATATTTTCTTAATTTCTTAGTTCGTTCAATGACTAAAACTAATTTTTTAATAAAAAAGGGGGACTCTTAATTACATTAAAATAATAAAATAATTTTAAAAAAGTGAAATAAAATCTTTAATATTACAACAAAATAAAAACAATTTAATAAAAACAAACTCTTTGATTTCTGTATTTAGTTTTTTTTTTTAATCGTGTTATTTTATTTTTGTTAGGCAGCACTATTGAGGGAGAGTTACATAATTAAATGATTTTTCTTTTTAAAGCTTGACTCTTCTGGATTATCGTGTTCTACACTGTGAAGAATGCTGGGTTCCACACAACTGATTTGTGTTGGACAACATGAAGCAATTAAGCTAACTTCAGACCCGATTGATGCAATTTTTTGTGATCCTGAAAAATTCTTAATTTAAATGCAAATTAATAAAATTTTCATCTCATAAAACATTCAATTCTTAAGCCAAATGTTAAAATTAGATTAATTTCAGTTTACAATTACTTGTTTAGTCCCTCCAGCGTGTCCTGGGTCTTCCCCGAGGCCTCCTCCTGGTGGGACATGCGTGGAACACCTCCCTAGGTAGGCGTCTAGGAGGCATCAGAAACAGATGCCAGAGCCACCTCAGCTGACTTCTCTCGATGTGGAGGAGCAGCGGCTCTACTCCGAGCTCCTCTCGGGTGTCAGAGCTCCTCACCCTATCCATAAGAGTGCGCCCTGCCACTCTGAACTCATTTCAGCCTCTTGTGTCCGAGATCTTGTCCTTTCGGTCATGACCTAAAGCTCATGACCATAGGAGAGAGTAGGAACGTAGATTGACCAGTAAATTAAGAGCTTTGTCTTTCGGCTCAGCTCATTCTTCACCACAAGACCAGCACATCGACCGCATTACTGCTGCACCGATCCGCCTGTCAATCTCACGCTCCATCTCGAGAACAAAACCCCAAGATACTTGAACTCCTCCACCTGGGTAAGGACTTTCCTCCAACCAGGAGATGGCAGACCACCTTTTTCCAGTGGAGCACCATGGCCTCGGACTTAAAGGTGCTTATTCTCATCCCAGCCGCGTCACACTCGGCAGCAAACCGCCCCAGTGCATGCTGAAGCTCCATGTTCGATGAAGCCAACAGAACATCGTCTGCTAAAAACAGAGATGACATCCTGTGGTCCCCGAACTGGACCCCTTGTCAGCAATTCTGTTGATATTGTTTGTTTTATTATTATTATTATATGCTGTATAATTTGCTTACTGAGCAGCAATAAATAACATTTTAAAATACAAGGAGTTTTCATGTGATTTTCTGTGTTGTGAAATTAATAAATGCATAATAACGGTGATAACCATGATTATTCCTCAAACTAGAACCGCACAACCCTAATCTAGAACAGCTGCATCCCTAGTCTTTAGGTGCGTTGGACTTCATGCGGCGCTGCGCAGATCGATCGAAATCTGTCTTAAAGCGGTGCATGCTGGTTAGAAATCTTGTCCGGATTGATGCTGCGCCGACGCCACGTGACTGTCACATGTGGCATCAAAGTACCGCGACAGCGCTCCGAGATCAGACGGCAGACTCAGACTGTGCAGCATCTGAAGAGCCACCCTAAAGCTTTCTTAACAAATTAAGTTAAAGAACTAGTTTATTAAATAATTATATGATTATAATACAAATATATGTTATTTCCTGTCTATCCGTTTATCCCTGGTCTTTCTGGGAAACATCCGCTTAAAGTGTAGCTCACTTATTTGACCTTTTCTTCAATCTTTTTGGATTAAAATGCTTTCATTATCCAAAATTATCTGATTTATTAAGACTTAATCAAAACACCTTGTTTTGCGTTTTGCATTGGAAAGTTTTACATCTATAAATGTACATATATAAACCCCTTTTAGCATATTCAAACAAAACGTATTAGCCTAAAGTGATGTTTAAACTCCTAGAATTGCGCTCTCTCTCATGCATTTGTTATATATTTAAATCATAATTATTGTTTATAAATGAACTATAGTTTGTAGAGACTGCATTCGGTTTTATTTGTAAATGTTTTGTTGTTACAAATAAAAATAAATAAATTATGATGACACCATGTGATCGGTCATCATGACTGCAGCAAGTTTGAGCCCAGAAGTGTTCAGCTGTCCGGCTTGACGGCTCCGTTTTCAACCCCGCCCTCGCTAATCTCGTTGATCACCGGCTGCAGCTGAGCTTCATGTCGAACGCACCTTTTGTGTACACTGTGAAGTGTACAGCCGAGTTAAGTTTTAAGTAGGAAAAGGATTGAAACTCTTCTGTCATTTTCGAGTCATGCTAACGGTCCAATCTGATTCAATGATTTATGCTAAGCTAAGCTAAAACTGCTCCTGTTATACTCAGAGATCAGCTGAATGGATTCATAAATGTTGAAACTTAACTGTTTAGGACAGGGGTCACCAATCTCGGTCCTGGAGGGCTGGTGTACCTGCAGTGTTTAGCTCCAACTTACTTCAACACACCTGTCTGGGTGGTTCAAGTATACCTTGTAAGAGCTTGATTAGCTTGTGCTTGATTAGGGTTGGAGCTAAAATCTGCAGGACATCGGCCCTCCAGGAACAGGTTTGATGATTCCAGGTTTAGGAGAAATGTAAAATGCAAAAGCAGTGTTGTGTTCCTCTGTCAGGGTGTGAGGCGGGCAAGCGCAGGCGTGGAGAACAGCATCAGGATTGATCAGAGTCCGTGTTCTTCACTCCTCCTCCAGCACCTGCAGGAAATCCGCCACCGACTCCACCACGAAATCCGGCGCGCAGTCCTTCTGCTCGGGGCTCTGGCTGTCCCGGTAGCGCTGAGCCTCGTCCAGGGTGGAGACGCCGGTGAGCGTCAGGACGGTGGAAAGGCCACAGTTGCTGCCGAACAGAATGTCCGTCTCCAGCCGGTCTCCGATCATCAGCGAGCGGGACGGGTCCAGGTCGAACTGACTGGAGATGCAGTCGAACATGAAGCGGCTGGGCTTCCCGATCACTGTGGCCTTCCTGCTGCTGGCCGTTTCCAGAGCCGCCGTCAGACTGCCAGAACCTGCACAGCATTGTCCAACACTGAATGAGCAGCTCACAAAACAATCAGCTTCCAGAGACACTCAACACGAACAGCCTCTCCATCAACACACACCGGACAGAGACGCTTTCTCAGGTATCACATGCAGCCAGTCACTCTACATTTTTTAATTCTTGCATATTTTCCCCTAATTTCATGTAATTCCTCTCAACATTTTTAAACAATAGTTAATTAGGCAGGTTAGGGTAAGTAGGCAAGTCATTGTTCGGGCCAGACAGAATCTGCGGACGTTTTTTGTTATTTCTGCAATGTAATGTGTATTTATATAGTGCATTTATTGTGTATGGCCATACACCCAAAGCACTTCACAGTCATGAGGGGGTGCATTCATTTGGATGATGCGGTGGCTGCCACAGGACAACAGTGCCAGTGCGCTCACCACACACCTGCTATTGGTGGAGAGACAGTGATAGAGCCAATTTGGTGGAAAGGGTGATTGGGAGGCCATATTCGCAAGGGCCGATAAAGGGAATTTGGCCAGGACACCGGGGTTACACCCCTGCTCTTTTACGAGAAGTGCCATGGGATTTTTAATGACCACAAAGAGTCAGGACCTCAGTCTAACATCTCATCCGAAAAACGGCGCCCACAGACAGTATAGTGTCCCCTTCACTTTCACTGGTAAAAATCTGCGGTTTTCTGTGGAATTATTTTGGGATTATCATAAATAAAACATGCATATGTGAAATAAAAAATAATATCGTTTGAACTTTTATTTAATGTTTTTTTTCCCATTATTTTTCGTTTTCAGTTTGTACACATTGAAATACATTTTACAACACTAATAACCTTGTTGCATTTACAAATTACACATTATATGAGGATATTTCGGAGTGTCTACTTAATAATATAACTTTAGAAAAGTATACTTAGCAAACTCCAAATAAGGAACTTATCAGTTAATGACTATCAACACACAACAGTGTTTCCAGTCAGTCAAACAGTGCTATCGTTTTAGGCGATTTCAGTACCATCATAAACAATATAGAGGTCGTGTCACAAGTTGTCACTGATTAAAAGCCCAACTTTATCTCAATGACTTGCTGCACTAAAACTGCATCGTGTTCCAGGCGGTCTTACCCGGGGTGATCCTGCCTCCTCTGAGTGGGTGCCAGGGGTCCGGGTCGGTGGCCAGGAACAGGCACTCGGCGTCCCGCAGGTAGCAGCAGGCTTTGGCCAGCTTCATGAAGGTGAAGCTCTCGTCGTAGCCCACAAGCACCGCCCTGACGTCGGGGTCCAGCGGGCAGTTGTAGATGCTGGTGCCCTCCTCCTGCTCGGCGGGTTCCTCCACCACGGGCACCCCGGCGTCCCGCAGCTCCTTCAGCACACCGCCGCCGCCGATCGCGTACACCTTCCCCTGCAGCCGCGCCACGTCCCGCAGGTAAGCAGCGGAGCAGTACGCCGAGCTGAAGATCTCCTCCTCCGCCACATCCGCGAAGCCTAAGCGGCTGAACTTCTGCACGTAGTTCTCCCGCGGCCTGGTGCAGTTGTTGGTGACGAAGAACACGCGCTTCCCGCGCTGCTTCAGGAGACTGACCACCTCCGGGGCTCCGGCAACAGCCGTTTCTCCGTTCCAAATGACGCCGTCGCAGTCGAACAGCACGTTGTGTTTGGCGTCCAGCAGGTCCCGGATCTGAGCCCCGCGGAGCGCCACGCAGCCCCTACCGCCACCCGCCATTCTACTGGCCCGCGGTCCTATGGTGGAAAGCGTTCGGCTGCGACTCTTTTAACGAAGCGCGCTGGCGACCTGGCGTGCGTCAGCTTTAGTTAACGATTAAACGGTTTAACGGACGCGACGCTGCGGGGCGGCTCACCAGCGCGTCCATCACTACCATACACACTGCTGCAATCCTACTGGAAGCACGGAGCGATGAAGACGGACCAATCAGATTATAGGATACCACAAAGAACACGCCTTTTTCTCTGTGTCCTCCAATCAGAAGGCGAGCAGGTGTACCTCACTGTGATTGATTATTACAGCAACATTTTGCTGCTGTATGATGTTGATTATTATAAAAGGAGGTTGGAGGACTGGAAGTTTCTCTAAGTGGCCAGGTAGTATAACAAAGGCTCTTTAATGTTTTAGATACTGAAAATACGGATTTATATACATATTTTATAGATTTAACAGGCATTGGAACCTGTCCATTTGTGTTATGTTTTCCACATTTATGATTAAGGTAAAGGCCCTGCTTGTTTATAGTTGTAGGAATTGTATTTCTTAATTTATTACTTGTTTTTTTGTTTCTTAATGATATTTTGTTCTGTTAATATTTGCCTTCTGTCATCCTGACATTAAATATTGTTTGTTCTATTATCATGAATCTGTCGTTAAACGTGTAATAGAAAAAAATACACACACACACACACACACACACACACACACACACACACACACACACACACACACACACACACACACACACACACACACTCATTTTCTTTTCTGCTTAGTCCCTTTATTAATCTGGGGTCGTCACAGTGGAATGAACCGACAACTTATCCAGCATATGTTATATGTATCGGATGCCCTTCCAGCTGCAACCCATTACTGGGAAACATTCATACACACACAATCACACACATGAACTATGGACAATTTAGCCTACCCAATTCCCCTATGGCACATGTCTTTAGACTGTGGGGGAAACCGGAGCACCAGGAGGAAACACGAACACGGGGAAAACATGCAAACTCCACACAGAAATGCCAACTGACCTAGTCGAGTCTCGAACCAGCACCTTCTTGTGAGGCCAACATGCTACCCACTGCACCACCTTGCTAGCACGGTTTAACTGCAGCTGGAAGAGCATATGCTGGATAAGTTGGCGGTGCATTCCGCTGTGGCGACCCCAGATTTTAAAAAAAGACAAAGCCGAAAATAAAATGAATGAATATGATATAAATTGTTCCTTTATAAAGATTTTTTTAAAATATTTCTTCGTATATTTTAATCTGTATAAGCTGTTATATTGATAATATTTTCTTAAAAACATATTCGCGTATTTATTAAATATTTAACAACTCTTACAACAGTCAAAACAATGTAAACAGCAAACTCGATTTGAGGAGCTGGAGTTTGCCCTCCACGACAAGATAACTGAGCTGAACTGACCAAGAGAGATGGAATTAAAACAAATGTCGGATGAATATTCATTTTCAAAGCATAAGATAAATCTCAAAAGTTACATTGTAAAGTTAAAACTAATTAAATACAAAATAAAATGTATTAAAGCGTGTTGTTGTTGCACAGTTCTCCCAAACGCTAGATGGGGGTAATACAGGATCACGTTGAGAGGTCTGATTCATTTTATTCGAATCAGTTCAGTGAACCGGTTCACAGAAGCTTCGACCCAGCATTTAATTACCATTTTTTTAAGCATTGATTAATTAAGTGCATACGAATCATCGTTTATCACAATATCTTCGAATACATCCTAATTATCATGTAAGATGTTTACTTTAAATGCGGAGTGATTTGCAATTCTGTTCAACTGAATCACTAAGACGAATCAAATTCACGATTCGAACAACAGCAGGGAAATGAACACATGAGTTGAACCACTTCGGAGAGTGCAGACTGCATGTGCAGGTCATATGTAAATGAACAATATGATTAAAGCTCTTTTTAAAGCCTTTGAGGTGAGGTGGAAGTCCTACAGACACAGATTTGTTCCCTGGATAGCGTTAAACCTGCAGAAAAATGAGAGGTATGGTCGGGTCCAGCGGGTGATTGTTAAATTAACGTTAGTGGTTCATTGTAGCACAGACAGCATTAACATATTCCCACTACAAAATTAAACATTCTGTGACATATTCACACTACAAAATTAAACATTCTGTGACTATCTGTAGGCTTTTTGTTGATTAAATATGCACAGCAAGGTTCCATTTGATAACATTAGTTAATATAAATCTAGTCAATGTAATGACAACTATAAAAAGCATTACTTAGTTAATGTCAAAACATTAAATCCAAAGTTGTAATTGTTTTATTAAATATTTAATTATGTTATATATTTATGCCAACACTGGGAGAACGTGCAAAATCCACACAGAAATGCTAATTGACTCAGCTGAGGCTCGAACCAGCGACCTTCTTGCTGTGAGGCGATTGTGCTACCCACTGCGCCACAGCTGAATGAACTGTCATCCTATCCAGCATTTGATTTATGCAGCGGATGCGGAAACATCCATACACACTCATTCACACACATACACTACGGACAGAAATGCCAGCTGATCCAGCCGAGGCTCGAACCAGCGACCTTCTTGCTGTGAGGCGAATGTGCTACCCACTATGCCACCCTGCAGTCTTCAATAATTCAAATGAGCACAATTGAAATTCAGATGGTTTTGTCACTATTTAAGCTCCATACTTAAGCCTAGTCAACAGTAACCGAGTGTTTGTGTGTTTGTTTCTTTGTTCAGAACTCTTCGACAGGTGGAGAATCGAGCTCAAGACAAAATGACTGCGGATGAAGACGTGTTCAAATCTCTTGTGTGTTTATTCACACACCTCCTAAAAAACGATGTGAAGAATCAACGCCAGCTGCTCGGGTTACTGCCCAGGTCTACTCAGAGTAAATATAGTAATGTGGAGAGTAAAACACACGGCGCTCCTCCGTCTACAGTGATGTTTGAGACTCTGGGCTTCAGTGTCGAGCGGAAAATCAGCTCTCTGGAGCGTGCGGGAACTGGAGTGTTTGTGATGCGGGGACGCGTGCCGGCAGGAAGCATTGTAGCGATGTATCCAGGTATCAGTTTTAATGATGTCATGTAGTGTGACGGGCAGTTCAGAATCCTCATACACTGGAAAAAATATCCTTAAATTAGCAGTTTTCCCCGTTTTAGATTCGTGTTTTTGTTCTTTCCCTTTTATTTATGCTTTTGAATAGCATTACGGGACCTAGAAAAGTGGCTCTTATTAACATTTAAATAGTAAAGGGCACCTATTGTAACTCTTTTTCAAGATTTAATTAAAACTTTTGTGTCTCCAGAGTATAACCCCTTTCACACAGGGATACCAGTAAATTTACGGTAAATTTACGGAATGACGTTACCGGTAAATAAAATAAGCGGTGTTCACACAGGCGAAGACGTTACAGAATTTTTCCGCAAAATACCGTCAACACATCCATTGCAAAATAGCGGTAAATTCGAGAGGGGTCTGGCTGCAGACCTGGTGCAGTGCAATCTGGGCTGCATCCAATGCTTTTTAATGGGCTCACCTAACCCTACCCGTCACAGTGACGTCACTAGCTCCATTTGAGTGCATTGTGTCTGACATTGCATCGCTGAGTGATGCAGTCTCAGCTTGCATGATAAAGGCTGCATCCAGATACTATTGGTAAATTCTGACATCATTAGCCGGAAATGAGCTCTAAATGCCTGCGCTTGTGTTTGGAAACATTTGACGACATTACAAACTCTGTGGATGGATCAGTACTTCGATGAAAACAAAGAGGAAGACTTTCGCATGTCGAGATGTATGATATGTGTGTGTGCTGGCGCTCTCCAGCTGCTTCGCAGGCACATGCCACACGTCAAGCTACTGGAAGGTAAACAAACAACGGCTTCTCATAAGCATCTTATCGATGATTTTTTACACAGTTGGCATTAAGAAGGAGCATAGAAACGTTATCTGACTAACATCTAGCTGCTGAATGTGTCTGGAAAAATATTTAAAGGCTTTAATTTTCATAAACCGTGCAGAATTGAATGCGAGTGTTCTGATTGGCTAATGTAGACGTCTCACATGCACGCGCTCTTTCTGGCAATCTTTCTTCTGCGTTCACACAGCGCAGCATTCCGGCAAATTACCGGTAATGTTACAACTTCAATTTTTTACTGGTATTTTCAAAAAGGGCCTGTTCACACATACAGACCTTTCCGGAAAATTGCTGGTAATTTTGCTGGTATTGATAGCACCCTCCCAATGGATATTGGATAAGACCAAGCGGCAACCTCCCGCTCTCCCTCAGGAAGCCAATACGGAAGTAACTAAAACTGCAATTCATCCGAAATTCCGCTAGTCCTGGCCGCTCCTGGCTCCAAAACAGAGCAAATTTCAGTTGAGCCCACTGTTAGAACGGCCAACTTTACAGCAGAAAAAAAGGTGTTTACAGCCTGGTACAAAAAAAGATTTGGGTTAATACAGCTAATATTACCCTTCATGACAACTGTGAGGGGGGTGAATTTTTTTATAACTCATCCGTTTCCTTTATATTAAGTTATATTAAGTTTGCATAATTAAGGGCGTGGCCACTTGAGTGACAGCTAGGTCTCGCTGGTCGCCGTCACGTCACCTCTGCAGATTAGCCACTGAACTCGGCATATTTATCGTATTTCTGTATTGTTTTATGTGGCTTTACACAGTCGACTGCCTTTTGGACTTGTTTCCCACAATTATTAGATGGCATGGCATGCTGAGGGCACTTAATTGTGCTCACAAACCATTCACGTGGCCTCCGTTTCCCATGTGAGTAAAGTTATATACTTATATACCATCTCTATACATGTATTTGTTTTATTTAAGATCATTTATCGTTTATATTTATATTTAGAGCTGTAATGCACTCCAGAATCTGTCAGATTGATTAGCTGTGGGCTCTAGAACAGTCATCTGAAGCGTTGTCATACAGTGTTATGCTGGATTTTATCAATAGTCTTACAGTAACTAACACAGACTACATCTGAAGTGTTTGTA